GTCTTTGTCGTGTGTTTATTAGAGCCTGAGATTCAAACAGGGCTTCAGTCACAGAGAGGGGGGTGAGGGTGAGGAGGGGGTCACAGAGGGGGAGGCAGAGGCTGATGGAGGTGAGGACGGTGGGTTGAGATTGCAAAAATCAAAAAAATATAAAGATACAGTATTTAAAATTAAATCGGCGTATTGCGTTTTTCTNCTGAACATCAGCAGGAGAGGACTCTTTAAAGTAGAGACACTACATACTGATATACACCTGAACATCAGCAGGAGAGGACTCTTTAAAGTGCGTTTGCGTTTTTCTGGAAATGTTCCCTCTGACTGCATTTAGCAAACGTACTTCTTTGCTTTACTTTACATAATCTTGACTTAAAAGTAAAAAAAAGTGACTTTCTTATTTAAAAAGTTTGACTTATTGTCATTTAATTGGGAAGTTATTTAGGTTGTTGTGCATGTAAATGGTCTGCAAAGGCTAACATCCCTGTGTTCCCTCCAGAGGGAGTTTTCTCTCACACACACACCCACCTTTTACTTCCAGAACATACTTAACTAAATGCATTAACTGGTTGTTGGGGCTTAATGGCTTTAACTGCTTTGTATACTACTACTCGCGATTCTATTGGCTAGCGTCCAACACATTGTACGTGATAGACCAAGGGGCGGGACATCTCTAAGAGGTTGATCACAACAGAGCCGGCCAGCTAACCAATCAGAGCAGACTGGGCTCTGGTTGCACAGGCAGTATGAGACAAATAAAGAGCTTAAAGAGAGAGGACTCTTTAAAGTAGAGACACTACATACTGATATACACCTGAACATCAGCAGGAGAGGACTCTTTAAAGTAGAGACACTACATACTGATATACACCTGAACATCAGCAGGAGAGGACTCTTTAAAGTAGAGACACTACATACTGATATACACCTGAACATCAGCAGGAGAGGACTCTTTAAAGTAGAGACACTACATACTGATATACACCTGAACATCAGCAGGAGAGGACTCTTTAAAGTAGACACTACATACTGATATAACCTGCACATCAGCAGGAGAGGACTCTTTAAAGTAGAGACACTACATACTGATATACACCTAGGGACACTACATACTGAGATACACCTGAACATCAGCAGGAGAGGACTCTTTAAAGTAGAGACACTACTGATATGAACCTGAAAATGAGCATAAGATAGACACAAGTACAAATATCTTCCCACAGATAAAGACTTTCTGTTTGTTTTGAGATGAAATCACGAGTGACGTTAAAGGACTCTGGTTTGTTTCCCAGTCAGAACATGTTTTATTATTACTGGGGTATTTATGGGAGATCTGCAGAGCAACAAACAAATCTAAATAAGACATTTAGATTTATCAAACTTATGGAAGCTAATTTCTTCCAGACGGAGACAAAATAAATGAAGTGACGTTAATAGAAATATCCATGAAAGTGGAAATGATGAGATCATTAACTCAAACTGCTGCTGTTAACCAACAACAAATACTTAATAAAAAGTTACTTTCTTATTCTATACATTCACTTACAGAGTGATATTGGAATTGTTATTTATTTGTTTGTCTTGTAATGTTGACTAGCATCGAATAAGAAATCCTGATTTGCTATCACATGATTTTTCACTTTTGAAGTTAAAACTGATTAAAATAATTATACTTTTTAATATTACTCTCTAAAGTTTGACGACAAACGTAAAAAATACTCGGATAATTTGGATTTACTGTCTAAAAGATTTCACCCTTAAAATCTTAAACAAAACAAACTATTTCTGACTTAAATAATAATAATAAATATGCTGGCAAAAGTTGAAAATGTTTGACTGTAAATGTAATATTTGTATCTCGCAATTATCTCTTTTAATGTATATTCTTTGACTTGCCATACCTATTATTCCTAATCTGTCATCATAACAATACATTATTCCAATCAACTGAAACACACAGACATGTAGAAGTAAATTAAGAGAGTAAAAAGAAGGCATAACAATCAATTGTGATCCAGAAACGGTTGAAAATAAAATAAAATAAGTCCAGAATGAACAGCTGTTATGATGAGTCGGAGGTCTTGTGTTTTGCTGACTCGCTCTGAAGGTCTTTCCAACAGACAGATATTTCCCGACTCAGCAAATTCACAAGCTGCAAAACTGTCAAAAAACAAACAAGACTTCCTTTCTTTCTCCCTGACTGATGAAAACACTCCCCAGAATATGTCATGTGTCAAAAGGCTGGCATCCAATCAGTATTTATCGACAACACTCCAATAGAGTTTGGTCAAGAATATCGATTTTATGATGAATTGACACCGTTTTAATCCGGATTTTCTGACACACTCAGATCACGGGAACAATCGTTATCTTTGATTACATCACCTGCTTTTCACTTGAAAACACACAACATATTACTTGCACATTTTTGACTATTGAGTGGCTTTTCAGAGGCTTATAAACATGTGCACTACCTCATTCCTTTGTCTTGTTTTAACTACAAGAGTCAGACATGTTTCCAGGTGTTTATTTCATGAGCGCAGGACTTTAGAATGTTTATCCCTGTCCTTGAACTGCATAACTGAGAATGTTTGAATGCTCATATTTACGATCGTACTGATGGAACATGAAAGCAGCATTAGCTCAGTTTAACTTTCCTACCTTCCAAGGATTTAATGTAAACACACACACACACACACACACACACACACACACACACACTGTATTCAGCAGGTTGATGGATGGTCCAGTGAAATCGTAGTCCAGTTAGAGAAACTCTATCCGTCTCCTCTGTCTGCCCAGCTGTCTGTTGTCTACACACACACACACACACACACACACACACACACACACACACACACACACACACACACACACACACACACACACACACACTGGTCCATCTGTCGACCTCTCCACTCTCCCCCAGCTCAGCGGGCTAATTAACTAATGTGCTGATCTTTCACTGCCTCTTGTGTTAGCCTGTGTGTGTGTGTGTGTGTGT